AAAGGTATTATCTGCTAAAGTGAAATGAATGAATCTGCCAGAGGCTATTAGAGCCTGAGAAGGGTTGCTACTTTTTGCAAGCTGCAAAATGCCCTGAAGGATTTGCTATACTAGGAGAACCAACTGATGACAGGCTTTTAGTTTGCACTTATCAAGGCTTTCATCCTTCCCATAAGCTTATCCAGAGGATTTCTGCACTGTTTCTTTTACTGACAGTTTTCACAAAGTATGTGTCTAATGAGGGTATTCTTTCTGTGTAGTTCTCAGCTGCTGGCTTTAAGTTAGTGGCTGATCATGGCTCTAGAATACTGGTCTAATATGAGGATAATATTGTGAAAAACTTTGCTCTGATTTATTCACTTTGAAATTCTTTCCTTTCCCTTTTCTGTTTCTGATCTCATTATTCCTTCTTATCCTCTTCCTACCTAACCTCTTAACAAAAGACAGTGTCACTGATGGCATCTTACTTTGTATAAGGAGACTATATTTTCTAAGCAACAAGCAAAAATTATAAAATATATTGCAAGGTCTTAGGTCACCTGAACAAGCAGATTTTGTCATTCCTTCTCATTGAGGAAGAAAACACATTCAAAAGAGGAAATGTATCACTTTGTTTTTCATAATTTCATTGCAATTTTAATATTAGTTCAATGAATTCTGTAGAACCAGCTCTCCCTTTCATGTTTTACATGTATAGACTTTACTTTTTAATCCTAGCATCTCAATGATTGGCAAGTGTTAAGCCTGCAATAAGTTGCAGCTGAATTAATGATTGATATTTTTATTGTGTAACCAAAGTACTATTTTTCATAATCTATTGCCACACTATCTTTTTAAAGCTTAATGCCTAGGTTTTTAGCTAATGGGTTAAGAGAGTCTCAAAAACAAACTCATTTTATTAGAAATTCTAAAATCTGAACAATTCTTTCTTTCTTTTATTCAACAATGTAGAAACTATCCTCAAACCTATGCTTTTCAAATGCATGCATGAAGAGTAAAGCCCCATCCCTCAAATTGCTTGCAATCTAATGGAAAACCAACAAGTAAATAATTATAATTCAATAAACAAGAAATCTTCTGTACTAAAACATAAGATCTGCTAGCCTTTCCTTATTTTGTTTCCTGGAAATTTGTTATTTGATGTGAATTAATGAGCAGGAGGTTTTCCAGTGGGAAATTTATTATATAACTTGTTGAGCAACATGGAGAAAACTCTTGAGAGTAAAATTTGTTCTGGATTAAGAGGGTATTTGTGGCAATATAAAATCTTAAGAATTGGAGAGTTATTGCAATAACTTGAAAAGACATAACTGCACTTTGGATTTGAACTTTGTGACCCAGCATAAGCCAAAACAATAATTTAAAAGGAAACTAATTATGTTGGAAACCAAAAATTTTTGTAAACCAATTTTTGTCAACATGGATCCTGTGTAACTTTAAATATATGTTAGTGATAGGTCTGATAAAATTCAACATATATACATGCATGTGTGTGCATGTGTGCACCCTCACAGCCAAATAAATTTTAATATTTAATTTCAAATTATGTCTATTTTATTTTTTTAAAAAGTTTCCCACATTTTTATTGGTGTATTATAGTTGTATATATTGATGGGATTTGTTGTTATCTATTCATATATGCACCCTATATAACAATATAATTTGCCAATATCATTCCTTAGCACTTCCTTCCTCCCTCCCCACCTTCCACCCCTTGGTCCCTTTTCTTGACTGATCTCCTTTTGACTTTTAGGAGATCCACTCCTAGCTTTTTTTTTTTTTTCTTTATCCTCTCTAGTTTCTGCATATGAGAGAAAACATGACACTTGACCTTGTGAGTTTGACTTATTTTGCTTAACGTGGTGGTCTGCAAGTGCCGTAATTTTATTTTTCTTTATGACAGGCCAATAAAATTTTAAAACATTTCAAAATATGCTGCATCTCTGTACTTCCATTCCACTTGGTGCTTTTGTTTAAATGATACCAACAAGTTAGGAAGGTTCAAGAACTGCTGGCATATAGTAGGGGTTCAATAAACACTGATCAAGTGAATGAAGGAAGAGAGTGATAAAATGAACAAATGGAAGACTAGGAGCAAGGAGGGCAATGGGCAGACTGATAGGTCATTGTGAGTTAGTTTTCATAAAACTGAGCTGATTTTTAAACCATTTAGTAAGAATTTAACATTTTACCAAGAGTTCTTGTGGAAAGGAAAAATAATCTATGACTTCTAAATGTCTCCCCAGAAATTATAATTTTTTTCATTAATGTATCTAAACTTTTTGAAGTAGGTGTTTTAAAACTAAATGGTTCTTTTTAGTGAAAAAGTAACCCCTATAGTTTTGGTCTTAACTTCATGGAGGAATAATTTTATTTGTCCTAGGCATAACTTTTCTAATATTGTGATGGCTGTGATAGTTTCATAGAATAAGAATTTGCAGATGCTTTTCAAAATGCAACACACACACACACACACACACACACACACACATATATATATATATATATATATATATATATACAGTATAATAATACATAAAAATAATGAGTTACAATTATTTTTTAAGTAAATATTGCTGATGTCTGTGTTTTACAGCTTTAATGACTAAATATTATTAATATCTTACAGCAGAGCATATTAGATCTTATCAAGTAGTCAGACTTAAAATGATAGAATTGTAGAAATACTAAAGGGGACATAAGTATTCTGATTTTATTAATCACTTTTAGGTGAATTTTAGGTTCTCATGATACTATTTATGGAAATCAATTTGATTCTACCACTTTAAAACACAGATGGAAACAGTATATTCATTCGCTGAGAAATTTGATAATAGCATTAAATATAACGCTTGTTGCCATTCACCTGTAAAATGTACCTATAATAGTAACATTACTATGGTATTATGGGCTACAAGGATCCACAGAACATATCTTGTTTGTAGGAAGATACAGATATTGAGAAGTGTTGGCAAAGATCTCTGATTTGTATTGAAAACAATTATTATTCAACTATTTATTTATACATATGATATGCCAGACACTTTACAAATATTTTGTTTTAGCTTGGAAGCTATGCTCTGCACTTTACATTTGAGGATATACAGACCTAGGAAGCTGTGTGACTTGTTCTAAGGTCTGATGGTTACTGTCAGAAGTAGAATTTGAATGGAGTCCTTTCTTACCTCTTTGCTTTTCCCTCATAATACATATTTTTCTAAACTATTTCTCTTGCCTATCTCAAGAATGTAAACCACTGGTTAATACTATTCTTTATCCATACTGCCCAGTAGAAATACAATGCAAGACAAAATAAGAAGAAGACAGAGTCATTAATTCTAAAAATAAATTAAACCCAATATATCTAAAACATTATCACTTTAACAGGTAGTCATTACTAAAGAAATTAATGAGATACTTTACATGATTCCTTCTTATTAAATACTTGAAATTTATATTCAGGAAAGTTACAATTCAACCACTAAATTTTTAACAGGAACACCTTACCTACATTTAGGCTTCATAAAGTTTACAGTCAGAATTTTATCTAATAATACAAATGTGTATCAACTTTAAAATTTAAGTTTTTTGGAATCAGATGCAGTGGCATGTGCCTGTAGTCCCAGCTGAGACAGGAGAATCACTTGAGCCCAGGAGTCCAAGATCAGAATGGGAAACAGAGTGAGAAACTATCCTCCTTAACCACCCTCCCCCCGCAATTTTTTTTTAATTAATAAAATTAAACTAAACATTTAGTTCCTTTATAATGATAGACACATTTCACATACTGAATGGCCATGTATGGTCAGTGGCTTCCATTTTTGGCAGTTCAAGTACAAACTGTGGGGAGATTTATTCTTACTCTTGGCCACAATGCTTACTATTTTGCTTCAAAGCAAACAACTAGCCAGCTAAGTAGCCCAATAAAAAATACATTATGTTATGACTAGTTTTTTTTTTTTTTTTCTCCTCCTCTATAAATAAGAGTTGATATTGGAAGGGTGGTTGTGGACTTTAATTATTGGCATGAACTGTAAAAATCTCTGTCTTCTGCCTTGTCTTCTGAACTTTCTGGTGTTGGCAATTTTTAAGAATGAAGGGGAAATATTTAATTCTCAGAACAAGAGTGTTCATTACTATTTCTATATGACTGTTCTTATACCACAATTAAAGATTAAAAATTACTTTAGAATTGAAAGGGAAAATAAGACCTATAGTGCTAGAAGATAAAATAAAGGAGAGATAAATATGTTTTAGTAGTTTTTTTTCTTCTTTTTTAATGATCTTTCCCAGACTGGCCTTTTACAGACTGAGAGCAGCATGGTCATGGCTGGTTTATGCCTGAGTTAATATGCTAATCTGATTGTGTACTTCCTAGGAGATGTTTAATTATGACATGCTGTGAGTTTGGAATCTTAAAATTGGATAAGAAGAAAAGTCTTGAGGGGAAACCAAAACAAAACAAATACCCAAGCAAACAAAAAAATTGAACCGACCTCATGCACTCTTCCATTGCAGCTCTTTAAATAAAGGACGCCTTGGATTGCTTAAGATAAATAAGTTTTGATTTATTTATTTTAAGAAATGGAGATACAGTTACTTTTTACTCTAATAGAAAATGCTAATGTGCTGTTAGCAAACCTAAGAAATTTAATTTTTCCATTAAAAAATATGGTGGCATTCTAACTCAAAAATCAAGCACTCATATTCATGTTACCCATTTTTGAAATATATTTTGACATTTTTATAACTAGAGTATTATGTAATTGATATAAACATTTTAACTTTGGAAAAGAATGAATTTTGTGGTACAAGGTATGTGTGCCTTAGTTTCTTGGTTTTACATTTTTTTTTTTCTCTCCAAACTAACATTTGTATATGGACTATTCAATTTTAACCTATTCTCATAGTTTTAAGATGAGAATTAAAAATTCTTTGCTTTTTCCTCACATGTTTTTTTTTTTTTTTCTACCTGCTGTATGGACATGAAACTTTTTTCCTTTGGAAATCCTTTTTGAGATATCTATGTTATTTGAGAGAAAGTTATGAGCATTTAGGTTTTTTTCTAACTTTCTAGTGAAACACCAGGATGATGTTTCTTTGGTCAATCATTATTCTTTAGAAACATTAACTAATTTACCCTCTTATGAGTCCTAGAAGTGTATCATAACATTGTACAGAGACAGAAGTCTGATGTCATGTGAACTGCTTAAGGTTGAAGATTAGAATTTCTAGGCGAATGAACCTAGGATTTTAAGTCACTGTTGGTTTCACAGCTGGTCTGGGCAGCTTTAATTCTGCTGAGAAGGAAGGAATACATGCCTCCTGTGAATTTCTGAAGAAGGCTTGATCATTAACTCTTTCCTTTTATTGCACAGAATATAAAAGTCACTAGCCAGAATTAGCCAGGCACACATTGTGGTTTCTATTCAGGGGATATTTTAAACTGTTATTTTTGTTCATTTTTTCTTCTTAGTCTTTGCTAATTGAGCCAGGTGTTTTTCTGTTTATTGACAGGTGAGGTGGGTTTTAATACTTTGATGAAATCACAGTATATTTATCAATTTACAGTTGATAGCAATCCACAGAGTTTTAGACTTGGGAGTTTTGGTATCTTTAGAGTTTGTTTTTATTTTTCAAAATAGAAAAATAAGATCGAAGTTATTTTCTCACTATCACACACTGAATTAGTGGTTTCTTTACTATTTGGTCTATTGATTCTGTCTAAACCCCATGAAAAGTGGACTACTAGCTTTTTTTTTTTATGTGAAATGATATTTTAAAATGATCAGCAAGTTAAGAATTTAAGGAAAATTATTAATTTTCCCTCAATAAAAATATATTTTCAACATAATAAAGGTTTTTTTTTTTTTGAAGTTTTCATTTCCCTTAGATAAATTGTGAAGGAATTGCAAGACATTTTTACTTAGTTTTTGAGCTATTCATTTGTTTATTTATTTTTGATACTGGGGATTGAAGAGATACTTAACCACTTAGTCATGTCCCTGGTCCTTTTTTATATTTTTATTTACAGACAGGGTCTTGCTGAATTGCTTAGGGCCTCTCTAAATTGCAGAGTCTGTCTTTGAACCTCCTGGCTCAGCCTCCTTAGCTGCTGGGATTACACTGAGCTGCTGGGATTACACTGAGCTGCTGGGATTACAGGTGTGTGCTAACACACCCAGCCTATTTAGATAATTTTGATTTCACTATATTTATCAGCATTTGGGGGCTCAATATTTGATCTCTTTGTTTTCCGCCTAGTGTGTAATTCTCTTTTATCAATACCATTCCAAACAGCATAGATTGTCAGTTGAAATGAATTTCAGGCATTTTAAAATCACTTCCTTCATTTTGATATGAATAACATTAATGCTAATAGCAGACTTCATCAGTGAGGATTAAGTATTAGACATTATTCTAAGAGCTTTGCATTGATTAATTTACTTAATTGTGTGTGTGTGTGTGTGTGTGTGTGTGTGTGTGGTGCTGGGGATTGAACCCAGGGCCTTGTGCATGCAAGATAATCCTTAATCTTTTTATCTAATGTATGGAATAGATGATTTTGATTTTTTACTTTGCAACTGAGAAACTGAATTTGAGAGGGAGGTTCTATAACTTGCTAGTGAGTGACAGAGGCAGGAATCTAGCCTAAGGTCCTGGATCTAGAGTTTATATTCTTTTATTTTTTAATTTTACAAAAATTGTATAAATTTATTGTATTCAACATGATGTTTTGAAATATATAAGTATTATAAAATGACTGAATGGAGCTAATCAACATATACATTAATTACTTCACATACTTTTTAATTTTTTTTTTTTTTGGTAGTAAGACACTTAAAATCTTCAATTTTCAAGAATGTGACATTTTTACTTTATAGTCATCATAATGTACAATAGATCTCTTGAATTTATTTCTCCTAATTCAAATTTTGCATTCTTTGACTATTATCTCCCGACTTTACCCTACCTCTGCAACCACTGGTAACCACCATTGTGCTCTCTACTTCTAAGAATTCAACTTTGTTAGGTTCCACATATTAGGTGAGATGATGTTGTATTTGTCTTTCTGTGCCTGGCTTATTTTTCTTAACATCATGATGCCTTCCAGTTTCATCCATGTCAGTGTAAGTGGCAGGATTTCCTCCTTTTTAAAGATAGAAAAGTATTTCATTGTGTGCATATAAACCATATTTTCTTCATCCATGCATCATTGACAGAATTTTTATTCTGAATCATTGTGTTCTTCTGCCTCTATGCAACATAAATATTGAGTTGAATCATATAGAATGCCTTTTGATAGAACAGAACAATCAAATATTAGCAGTTTCATACAATTCAATCAAATAACAACTTTTACTATTTATTGATCACACACTATGTACCTGGTGCACTTCATGGCTCTTTATTTTTATAAGCTCAATTAATCCTTATATTTAATTAAATCCTTATAACCACTCTGAGGATAGAAATTATCACTTTTTATAGAATTGAGAAAGTGATTCTCAGCAGTAGATAACTTTCCCCAGCATGTACAGCTAAATGGAAGAGTCCAGTTTGAGCCCACCTCTGCTTGACACTGAACGCACGCCCTCAATCATCCTGCTGTTCCATGTGAGGTTCTTCAACAGTGTTAAAACCTGGAATTCTCTACTTTTGTCAAGTTATTATGTGTCGTAACACAATGGTCTGGCATGTGACTGTGTGTAGTCTGTATGTTTGTGAGGTTGCTTTAGTATATCTTACTAAGTACTTGATTAGACGTAAAGGTAAGAATATAATACATGGATTGTTTTTAAATCCAAGTCAGAACATGTATCTCAATTTCTTTCTACTATATTAGTTTGCCAGGACTGCCATAGCAAAGTACTACAGACTAGATGGCTTAAACAAAAGAAATTTATTTCTGCACAGTTTTGGAGGCTAGAAGTTAAGGCTCAAGTTGTCAGTGGAGTTTGTTCCTTTCATAGACCTCTTTCTTTGGCTTATACATGGCTCTCTTCTTCCTTTGTCTTCAAATGACCTTCATTCTGTGTGCATCTGTTTCCTAATCTCTTCTTCTAAGGACAATTAAAGTTGGATTAGGACCCATTCCAAGTATATCATTTAATCTTAATTGCCACTTTAAAGACTATCTCCAAATACAGTCACATTCTGAAGTATTGTACATCAAGACTTCGATATATGACTTTTGTTTTTTATGTTTTAATTTGTTCTAATTATACATGACAGTAGAATGCATTTTGACACATTAACATGTTTCTTAGTTTTCCTCTGGAAGTTAAGCATGAGTTTTGATGAATTAATTTGAGATTAATGTAGTTCTTTTTTCCTCAGTTGTAGAATCCCAGCTGAGCAGTAACATTCCAGAATGACATTGCATAAAATCCCTTCTCAGGCCTCCTTATGAAGGTATTGTGACATTCCAGATCAGTCATTTGTAGCATTTAAGTCTTAATCTTACCCTCAATTTTTTTTTGAACATTGTTTTACACACCTGTTTTACCCCTGCCATGTCCTCAAAGAAGGAAATCAAATAAATTAACACCCCCTGAGGAACAACATCAATATTTCATTTGGATTGCTTAACTCTTGGCATCAAACGTATGACTTAGGGAAATGACTCTTAGAGTAGGAACATGGTAAATATTGAGGAGTTATTTTATTTTGCACATTGCTGAGGCCAACAATAGTAATTGGAATTATAATCATAGTAGTCATGTTTGCTCTTCCCTGGGGAGCACTCAGCATGGAGGGAGAGGAGTCTGTAGAACTGTGATATGCTACAGAGACCTTAGGAATTGTTTTAGTCCATTTACCTTATCTGACAGATGGATTTAGTGTAATTAAATGCCTTCTTTATATACTCAGTGCAAAGCTGAATGGAGATGATAGGTATCCTAACTTCTGGCCAGCGTTTCTTCATGTCCATTGTCCTAAACATTATGTTAGTCACATAAATTGTTTTCAAATTGCCTAGGTAATTCTGGAGAGGAAAATCAGCTGGAATTTCTTATTGAAAAGATCATAGGTTTTGGAGCTATATGGATATGTGTTTGAATCATGGTTTAAGATGGTTTTCCCTTTATAAAACTAACAAATTAATTATCTGAGCCTAAGTTTAACTGATCTACTTGATGAAATAGATATTAAAGCTTACTCTTAGGTTATTAAAGATTACCTAAGAAAATTCAAGTGAAATGCCTGGAATATAGGCACTCAGAATATGATAGCCATTGCTATAAATATTCAATAGTAGTATTTGGTACTAATGGTATTTTACTATGAGTAGTTCTAAATAGCAATATCATAAATTGTTTATGTTTATAAGTGAACATATTAAAAGAAATTCAGAGACACTTGAAGATGGAAGGGATTTACTGATCATATAGTAAATGGCTGGTGGAACAGGGAGATGTATTCTTTACTCCATTATCATGGTGCTCACAAGGGTGCTTAACAAATATGTTTGATGATGATGTTGTATACTTGCTGGTCAGCTGAAGCTTTGGGTTCAGTTCTTTGGTTGACCTCTGGCTGCCTTTCAGATCCTTCCTGAGGGAATAAAGCTGTGTGTTATTGTTGGTCATTGGCACAAAGTTTTGGTGGCTTGGCCACAATTGTTGGTTGGAATTTCAGTTTGAGATGGAACATATTTCATTCAAAAAAGTATTAATATATTTTATTAATCTTCACTGAAGCTTAGAGTTTTCAAAAGTCAAACAAGGAAGTAATGTCTACCTTATGATATTGTTGTGAGTCTTATAAGTAAATTAAAATAAATGATAGAGCAACATCATTAACATCTCATGAGTCTGACATCATATATTCTATGTCAAAATCTTCACTATTCAACAAGTTAGGTCCTATTCATACGTAAGCTAAAGAACAGAATTTGCAAGTAATTTTCCAATTGATGAAAGTACTTAGCATGAAGCCTATTTCATAAAAGCAGCTTTAAAATGTCATCTTTCTTCTTTCCTTTATTTTACTCTGATCCTTAACAATCTTATATAATAATAATAATAATCTGTAAACTTCCTTTTCCCCAGTATGCTTTTTTTTACATGTCTTCCAGTCAGCATCTTATCCTGAGTTAACTCCTTGTTGTTCCATGTCATGACTTCAAAGTGAGTCAAAATACCCCCAGGAGAAAGTTGTGGAATGGAAAGTAAGATGTGCCAGTGGAGAAAACTGATGGGATAGGGTGATGGGTACTTTTACACCTCACTGATTTTTCTCAATCAAATTACTTTACAAGTAACTTTGGACCATTGAGTTTTGCCAATTCTCTTGGAGTTTAGCCATATGAACCCCCAAATCACATTTGTGAAGTCTGTTAAACTATAAAAACAAAAGGCCAAAGGACTCCCCTCTGATAGCTCAGAATATCTACAAGAAAAATCAAACACTTATCATCAGTGGTCTATATTAATGGGTTCCAACTGGAAAAAAAAATGTCTCATAGTAAACCACAAAAATGTAGAGCTCAAGGTGAATTTTCTTCCCCTACT